AACCATGTGGGGCTAAAGTGGTTCGAGTTCAGTGAACTCGAACCACTCTTTTGAAATTTCCAACCACCTTAACTTTGTGCTCGGTTATCCGATCGTAGCAAACATTTTTTTCATTTCGCATAACTTTTCCAGGACTACAACTTTTATAATAGAAATATTTTCAGAATATATGTGAAAATGTGAACATTAAAGTTAAAGTTACTCCCAACGGCCAGGGATAACGGAGCGGCCTGCGGTGATGAGGATGGAATGACAGTAGTGGAGACAGTTGTTGTTGCGATCTCCTGAAGATTCGGCTGCTCTGTCGTCACCATTGCTACGCCATCGTTCGCAGTCTCTTTCTTCTTCTCCGCTCTCGCTTGCGCCTCCTTGTTCCGTCGGGTGATAGTTAGCTGCAATAGCTCTCGCAGTCGGAACCACTCGGAATCAAAGAGCTTTGACGATGATGCTTTACCCGCCAGCATCGGCGACTTTCCCGGCTCAACGGAGCCATCGACCCCTGCGCTCTCTGCTGACGCTTCGGTCGACCCAGCTGGTCGCCGTCGTCCTTCGTCGTTCGTGGCCGCTGCCGTCGCAGCAGCCGCCACGCCGTCCGCGGTCGCTGCCTTTGCCCGCTCCTCCTGTTCGTAGCGGTCCAAAGACTGCTACAAGGACAGGCTGAGACGAACCCATTCTGGATCTAAGAAGAACTTTGATGAGCTCATTCTGGCTCTGATACCAGATGATAGAAACCTATTTCTAGGGTTCTATCGATTGGGTTGGGAATTTGGGAATTGATTGAGATTTAGGGATTTAGAAGAGAATTAGGGATTAGGAACATAATTTAGGGAGAAGAAGAACTGAATGGCCGACGGCCAGATTAGGGGAGAAGAGAGTTTGAGAGGATTAGGAGAGATTAGGTTTGAAAGGATACTTTGATAATTCTTTCTTGATTGATTCTGAATAAAACGCAGAGTACATATTTATAACGAAAGACTGGAAAAACCTAATAGACTATCCTATTATGACTCAAATACTACTAACCATATATAATAATATCCTAATTATAGTAATTATGATAATTATGAATAAACCCGGAAATTGGGTTTCTATCATCCCCTCCCCCTTCAAACCAACCTTGTCCTCAAGGTTGACCGACTCGACCCATTTCTTCACATCGCCCGTGTAGACCGCGCCTTGTCTCCTCCACTCCAGGCGCTTCCTTTTCTTCCAATCAGGCTCCAATTCTTCACTTGACCTCCGTTTTTCGACCTTTTGTTGCTGATTCAAGTCTTCGAATTTTACCTCTATGGGCCCACTAATTGCTTCATTGACCAAGTCGAACTTCAATAGCTCCTCCTTTGTGCGTATCACACTCCGGCAACATAAAGAATCCAAAGATTCGTTCCTTTTCAAGAACGCATCTTTAAGTACTAACTCGTCAAGGCCTTCATACTTCTTTCTTGGAGCTAGCCCATTAATTTGCTTAATGGAGCCTTCAATCTTGTTTGGGTCATCCTCTTTTAAAAGGTCATATTTCAAGCCCACAGAATTAGGTGCCCAAGCAATTGAGCCCATTTCAAACAATAGAGCTCTAATCAGGCTACCCACCTTCACTTTCTCCGGCCCGAGATTTGACTTACGCAAAACAGTGACCAGCCCATCGGAACACTCGATCTGACTGCTTCGGTCCAACTGGGCTCGACCCAGCTGCTCTATGCGGATGGAGGAGGTCCGAAGAACGCCGTCGCCGCTCTCCTTCCCCGACTCTTCCTCCTGTCCAACGCGACTCGCCGCCCTGCTGGTTTTCTTCTCCCTCGACGGCCCGACCCCAGGCGGCATTTTCTCCTCGAGCGCGCCGTCCACGAGCCGAATCCCAGGCAAATCTGATGCCATGCCTCTCCGCCGCTGTTTCTTCTCGATCGACAACTTGGCGGAATCTTCCTTGCATCCTCGTGTAGCTCGAGACCTCGGCGATACAACCCGAGAACCCTTCATCGCCTCGCCTTCCAGTTCCCGGTTGGCACCGGTCATCCTCGCCGCCCCGCCGGTTGATAACGCGGTGGCCTCAAGTTTAGAGACGGAGGGGGCCTTCTCCTTGGCTGAAACTTGTTGACGAATCGGTGAAGACGCGGACGAGGCAACGGTGATGCCCGACGCGTCGGTCGCCGGCTCCACTTCATCGGGCTTCAACTTCTTCCGAAACTTCCAATTGAACCTTGAACTCTTCACCAACAAATTCCCAATTAGAGGTTCAGCCTCTTTGAGATTTACCTGCAATACCTCCTCCACTTTCAGATTGGATTCAACCTTCTCTGCGAATGACTCTGCTGCCACGACCGAGGTGATTGCCGTCCTTGAAGCGGCAGCGACGGTGGTTGGTGATGCCGGCAAGGCAAGGTGGTCGAGCGTGGAGGTCGATGTCGGCAGCAGCTGTTGTTCGCGTGTAATTTCGGCTGCCTGAACTTCTTCTTTGGCAATGGATGATGGAAGTACGGCGACTGCTGCACCATGGTTCGATTGCTCGTCAGTTATGGTGATGATGTTAGGGATGGCAGCTGAGGGCAAAATAGGCTCCGAGACAACCTCCTCGACTTCCTTCTCGACGTCGCGTTGTGCTTCTTCAACGGCCAGGGATAACGGAGCGGCCTGCGGTGATGAGGATGGAATGACAGTAGTGGAGACAGTTGTTGTTGCGATCTCCTGAAGATTCGGCTGCTCTGTCGTCACCATTGCTACGCCATCGTTCGCAGTCTCTTTCTTCTTCTCCGCTCTCGCTTGCGCCTCCTTGTTCCGTCGGGTGATAGTTAGCTGCAATAGCTCTCGCAGTCGGAACCACTCGGAATCAAAGAGCTTTGACGATGATGCTTTACCCGCCAGCATCGGCGACTTTCCCGGCTCAACGGAGCCATCGACCCCTGCGCTCTCTGCTGACGCTTCGGTCGACCCAGCTGGTCGCCGTCGTCCTTCGTCGTTCGTGGCCGCTGCCGTCGCAGCAGCCGCCACGCCGTCCGCGGTCGCTGCCTTTGCCCGCTCCTCCTGTTCGTAGCGGTCCAAAGACTGCTGCAAGGACAGGCTGAGACGAACCCATTCTGGATCTAAGAAGAACTTTGATGAGCTCATTCTGGCTCTGATACCAGATGATAGAAACCTATTTCTAGGGTTCTATCGATTGGGTTGGGAATTTGGGAATTGATTGAGATTTAGGGATTTAGAAGAGAATTAGGGATTAGGAACAGAATTTAGGGAGAAGAAGAACTGAATGGTCGACGGCCAGATTAGGGGAGAAGAGAGTTTGAGAGGATTAGGAGAGATTAGGTTTGAAAGGATACTTTGATAATTCTTTCTTGATTGATTCTGAATAAAACGCAGAGTACATATTTATAACGAAAGACTGGAAAAACCTAATAGACTATCCTATTATGACTCAAATACTACTAACCATATATAATAATATCCTAATTATAGTAATTATGATAATTATGAATAAACCCGGAAATTGGGTTTCTATCAATCATGGAGTTACAATCCCCACCCCAGAACTGGTTACTCCCCCTCGATCGGGAACTAGCATCGTATCCGAAGCCATAAGATCATGAAGGTTAATATACTTGTAATTTCTAAATATATTGTTCTTGCTTGCTTTGTTTCCTTTGCAGGTAGCCCGCAATAAAAAAATCAATTGGTTTTAGGGTGCCTGAATCCACGTCAAGAACAGTAGACAAACAAGGGTGGGGTGGTGGCTACATTGATGATGAATGACTTTCAAGTTTCAATCTTTGAGGACGAGAGGCTTATAGAATCACGTTGCTGCCAATAGTATCTTTGTAATTTCTTTATTGTTTGTATGTTTTATTTGTTGAGAATTCTGTTTTGGTTCAATCCAATGGTTATATGATTGAATCGAGTATACAATAAAGAGGGTTTTTTCTTCATATTTATTTATCAATATTTACTTGCTTTTTGAATAAGTAAACTGTAATTCTGAAAACAATAAAGTTGGGTGGCAGACGACGATTACATTAGCCTGCAATTCTACCAAGCTGATTCCAAAATGTGACGCTAATACTACCTTTTGGAAGCAATGAATTTGCCTCTAATTGATGCATTTTGCGGCTAATATATTAGTTGGGGAACGAGCATTTCAAATAATTATTTGTTTTTAATTTATACTTTTAGAGACAAATATAAATGTCTTTAAATAAATAATTAGAAACACATAATATCTGCCGCTAAAGAGATTTAACCGCTAATTATGTGCCACTATAGAACTATTGAGGCACATAAATCACCTATTGTGGCAAATAGACTTAACCGCTAATTATCATTTTTCTTGTAGTACTTGTGGAATTCATTTGCAAATTTCATCTCAATTCCTCGGAATTGCTATAACTAGTTCCAATTCCGTAGAATTCAAAATTTAGAATTGAAAATAAATTTTTTTAAATACCAAACACAAAACGATTTCATTTCAAAATTAATTCCTCAAATCTTGTGGAATTCATTTATACCAAATGCTATGTACATGTCAATTTGCAATTCAACGGTAGTGATTCCACCACTCATCCGACCCGGTTCATTAAAGAATATGGGTGGATGATGGCATAAAATTAGGAGTAGGTAATAATCATGCTCATACTGAATCGAATCGGTTTGAATATATTTTGATTCGATTTGATCCTATAAATTAAAATAAATATAAACAGAAAATGGTTCAAAATTGAATTTGAATCCAATCGTATCCAACCAAACATATTTTTGGTTCAATTTTAAACTTCAATTATTTATTTTTTACTCGATTATATCTCAATTTAATCCAATTCTACATAGGCCGTCCATACATACAATTTAATTTACCCAGTCCACCGACCTAAATACCAGACAAGGGTAAAAGTAAAACAAGGGAAAAAAATCAAGTGAGAATCCAGAAAGAATAAGGAAATGAAATACCGTAGAACTGTAGCCACTCCTTCTACTTCCATCCAGGACCAAGAATCCCTAACTCCAAAATATACGATCTCCGTCACCGTCTCTCGACTCCGGCGGCGTCGCTCTGGTTGCCGGTACATAGCCCCCTTGTGCGGGACTGTTATAACTTCTCACCATGAAAATTGTCAGGAAAGATTACCTACCCGACGGCCCGGGTAGCGTCAAGGTAAACTGTTGGGGGTTTTTCAGAGGAAAAAATCCCAAGTTACACATGTTTTTAAAAAAAATTCTCAAAATACACACGTTATGAAAATAATTCTCAATCTACGCATGTTTGGGCCATCACCGCTGTCGACGAAGACAGTGATTGCAACACCGCTGTAGACGAAGACAGTGATTGCATCACTGCAGTACACGGCCGCGGTAAAGGCCTGACCTGCGTCGAAACTTTAAACAAACGTAACTTTGTGCTCGGTTATCCGATCGTAGCGAAATGTTTTTTGATTCCACATAATTTTTCGAGATCTTGCAAGCCTCAAATTGCCGTAGGCGGTTTGGTCCCTCCTTCGTCTCGAAAATATGTCGTTTGCTACCCCGAATGAGCCTTTTTCGATTTCGTCAAACTTTGAACGACCATAACTTTGTGCTCCACAATCCGAAAATCATGAATTTCTTTTTTATTTCGCATAACTTTTTAAGGACTACAATTTTTATCATAGACATATTTTCGGAATGTACTTGGATTCCTGAAAAGGAAGGTAAAGTTATTCCCAAAACCCCTTATATCCATAAATAATTCATTTTTTGAAAATTCTCTCCTACTAAAAATTGTAGTCCTTAAAAAGTTATGCGAAATCAAAAAAAAAATAATTCATGATTTTCGGATTGTGGAGCACAAAGTTATGGTCGTTCAAAGTTTGACGAAATCGAAAAAAGGCTCGTTCGGGGTAGCAAACGACATATTTTCGAGAAGAAGGCGGGACCAAACCGCCTACGGCAATTTGAGACTTGCAAGATCTCGAAAAATTATGCGGAATCAAAAAAAAATTCGCTACGATCGGATAACCGAGCACAAAGTTACGTTTGTTTAAAGTTTCGAAGCAGGTCAGGCCTTCACCGCGGCTGTGTACTGCAGTGATGCAATCACTGTCTTTGTCGACAGCGGTGATGCAATCACTGTCTTCGTCGACAGCGGTGATGGCCCTAACATGCGTAGATTGGGAATTATTTTCATAACGTGTGTATTTTGAGAATTTTTTTTAAAAACATGTGTAACTTGGGATTTTTTCCTTTTTCAGAAGCTTCCAGCTTAATCTGGACTTACGTTTCAATTTTCTCTATTGTCATCTGAGATTTCTCGTGGTAACGGAATTGGTTGCGGTGGTGTGTAGATGACGCCTGTTGATTCAGATGATCTCTGGTTTGCTTACAATCTAATACTTCCTGGAGATTCTGTTATGGCCGTTACTGTCAGGTAGTTTACTTTGCCTCCTCCTTGCTTGATTTTTTAACAAAGAAAAATAAAGGTTCAGCAATGAAGTTTGAAACTTCTTTGGCCTTTGCTAAACTTTAGGAAGGTATTGAGGGAGATGGCATCTGGTAGTAGAGATGCTGAGCGTGTGAAGCTCAAGTTGGAAGTCAGAGTTGAGGTATCAGCACGAGTTGCCCTGTTCTTTAATGGTGGGTCTGGTGTCCATTGTATTATGTATCCCTTATATGACAAGGGTTTCCTTTGCTTCCCCGGTTTCTTGTTTTGGTATTAAGGGCATTGAGTATGATAAAGAAGGGGGCGTCTTACGAATCCGGGGGAAGAATATCCTAGAGAATGAACATGTGAAGGTATGTGCAGGTAGCTTCATTGGTGTCTTTTGAAGGCCTCAGTGGCGTGATTTTAGTCTGACGACGTATTGATCATTGTTTCCTGCAGATTGGTCAATTCCATACGCTGGAACTTGAGCTGCATCGGCCCTTTGTTTTGAGAAAAGTACGGCTATGATTCTTTTCTATGTACAAATGATATTCCTTTTTTCAATGTATGATTTGAGAAAAGCAATAGTGGAAGAATGTTTGAAGTCTCTTGATTCTTCTGGAGCTGTTCTGATATTGTCAATCATGGTATTTGGAGATCCTGGTTGCAATTTGTGGTTTCCTTTTCACTTCTGTATAGTTATTAGCCCATTAAAAACTAAAAATAATCTCGAAATTTTGTTAAGAGCTAGAAGGAGAGTTCGTATACATCCATAGGCAGATCTGCAACAACTAATTCTCTGACTTTGGTGAAGATGTGTTCATATTGTCTCTGCTCATACAAATTACATATCAATGGGAATGCTGTTGACGTGTTTTATTGTATTGGCCTTCGGCTTTGTGATTTGGTTTCAACCTCTTGCCCAATTGCATCATGTGTTGCTGACTTACGGCTCTAAAATACTGTTTTCCAGCAAGTTTGGGATTCATTAGCACTGGAGGTACTTAAGCAAGCCTCAGGTACATTATGTTGATCTTATTTACAAAAATTTTATATAGTTATATTTTAACTTGAAACATAAGTGACTTGTTAGGAATTCCTTGGTGGTAATTGTCCTTTTGTAGTCTAGTTTGTCATTTGTGATATTATAGTATCTACATTCAAACAGGATATTGTTAGTTCACCTGCATTGCAATTCTATGATTGCAGAACCAATATGAACTTAGGATGGCTATGGATCTAGTAACTTTTCTTTGTAGGTGATATACTACTTGATAGTTGCTACTATCCCCTTTTCTGCTAATTGTAATAATACGAGTACTAGAGAACCATGTTAGAAACGTTCAAGCGCTAGGGTCCTTAGTTCTGTATATACGTACCGATTATCCTCTTTTTGAGTTTCTTTTGTCATCCTCATTCGATTTAATAACTTGTATTCATTATCTTGTCGCTTTTTTATTCTTTATTCCATGGATGATCAACCATTATAGTGTGCTATCCCGGCTTCGTACTTTAATGCTTGGATAAGAACCTTGGAGGAGTTATGTGTCTAGACTCTAGACTCTGGCATTGATGTGATTTGTCCTTTGTAACTTGGAAAAGTAATTACCATATCATGAGCTGAGTAGAGTCTGCCTATCTTTTCTATGATCTCCTAGATCCTACAGCAAGTGCTGATCTCGCTGTGCTTCTAATGCAAGAAGGATTAGCACAAATTTTCCTAGTTGGCAGAAGGTATCAGTACGCATTCTGTTCGTTCATTAACGCTTAACTTCCTTGCTATTTTCTTTTAGCATAGTTTGTTAACTATGAATTTGTAGTCACTTTCTTATGTTCTTGAAACTTACAAACAATCTTTTGCATGCCCACTTCACAGTATCTTAGTAAACTTCTCATGTAGTTGAAGTATTTAGTTCTTTTGTTTGTGAGCTGAGTATTGAATACGTGGAGCCTAATATACAGTGTCACAACTTCACGTGCACGGATCGAAACTTCAATACCGCGTAAACATGGACCTGCAATTGCCGGTTATGATTCGGTACGCTACTGCTTTTTATTGGGGAAAATGAACTAAATCCAGTTGTTGGTATTTTTCTAGTTGGCTTTTGAGTTATTAGGAAGCACCATTATAACTCTGATTTTCTTTATTGCAGGCACTAAATAAGTTTTTCCAGAATGTTTTACAAGTAAGTTCTTATAGCCTTGCAATGTATGGTCCTTTTTCAGTAAAAACGACATTGATAAATCTATAACCCGTCACTGTATGCTGATTGCCAATTGAGTATTACCATGATGGTAGAACTACTTTTGTATTGCAGGCTTTCCTGAAACATGTTGACTTCAATGTTGTTCGGTGTGCTGTGATTGGAAGTCCTGGTTTTACAAAGGTACACTTGCCTTATAACTTAAATCAACATTGAGTGTCCAGTTTCTTGTTACAATTTGATGCAGTCAATTTTCAACACGTTTTTACTCTGGAATTTGTTATTTTGCTTCAGGACCAATTTCATCGTTATCTGTTGCTAGAGGCAGAGAAAAAAGAGTTAAGACCCATTATTGAGAATAAGTCCAAGATAATCCTTGTGCATACATCCTCTGGATACAAGTAGGTATCTTTCTCTTTCAGATTGCTGTGAAGCAACACATGTACCCTGTGTTTCTAGTACAGCTTGTCTGATGTGTTGCTTCTGTTTAGGGCTCTTGTAGTCCTTGTTCCTTAACCTAGCCCCGCATACTCTTTACACAGGCATAGTTTGAGAGATGTACTTGATGCACCAAGTGTCATGAATATGATTAAAGATACTAAAGCAGCAGAAGAGGTAATTTTCGCGGCATGCCTTTGGTGGAGGATTTTGACAAGTTGTATTTCTGTCGAATAGTGCTGAAATTATATCATTTTTGTTGTCCCCTATTTCCAGGTCCGGGTTCTGAAGGATTTCTATGACATGCTCTCAAATGTGAGGTTCCGATCTTGAGATTTGATAACCTTTTTTGTTTATAGTTTGGTGTCTGGCAAAAGTTACTCGTGAGAGTCAGAATGCCCTACGTTTTTTATTTCTAAATTTACGGCCTTTCGATTTCAGGATCCTGATCGAGCATGCTATGGGCCAAAGCATGTGGAGGTCGCTAATGAACGCCTAGCTGTGCAAACTCTTCTCCTAACTGATGATCTCTTCAGGTGACTGTCCGTCTGCCTGAAGTAGTAGTATCAATTGTCAGGCATTTAGATCCCTATTAAATATTAAGAAAATTTACTTGTTTTAAGTGTTGTTTCTTTGTTCTCTTTGGGTAATTATTTGCAGGAATGCGGATGTACCAACTAGACGGAAGTATGTAGATCTAGTCACGTCAGTAAAGGGTTCTGGTGGCAAAGCTCATATATTTTCAACTATGCACTCCTCGGGAGAGCGTAAGTGTTCTACAAAATAGTCCCTTACGCATCCATTTTACAACACGATGAATTGCTTGCTTAGTTTGGCATTCTTTGAACTTCTTGAAACAGAATTGGCGCAGTTGACTGGCATTGCTGCAATCCTTCGGTTCCCCCTACCGGACCTTGAAGACATAGAGATGTGACCAAGAGCATGAATTTTATACCGTATGGTTTTTGGGTTTGATTATTTCCTGATTGGCTGTAAGCCTGTAACATCTGAATAAATAGCTCCAGTTAACTCAGTTTTGTTAGATCCATGTTCAGTCTGTTTAACCATAGATACTAACAACCTGTAAACTTGAGTGCTTAGCTCACTTAGTTGTGGGCACCTGTATTTATAGTCTACGAACTTTTTTTGCGAGTATAGTGTCACCTAATTTCTCTTAACTCAGCCAAGTCATTTGTTCTTAGTTTAACATCAAGTTGTCTATTTTCTTTCGATACAGCTCATAGCCTGATCTTTAAATAGAGAAACAACACTATATGTGACCACTTTGCAACACAAGTCTTTACCTACACCAGCAAGAAACTTCTCAAAAGCAACTGTCACTAGTATGAAGCAGCAGTCGTAAGTTATAACCCTATCCATGATAGCTGCAAGGACGTGCTTGAACTCCCTCAGCAGATCGATGCTACCTTCAAGCTTCTCCATCTTTGCTGCAACACAAGGCAATTCCTCCAGCAATTTTCCCACCACAGTGCCACTGCCCACCGTTGCTACTTGCGCAACTCTGCCACGAGTCCCTTATCCAATTTCTTCTCAACCAAGCTCCCCCAATTTAGATGTATGAATTCAACATTATAGATAAGGAGCTCAACGAGGAATCTTTACTTCTTCACCATGGCCACATGCTTAAAACGTTGAAATCTGAAATAGAAGTCGATAAGTAATGTGAAAGTTGGGGGATCCAGAATTGCTGACCTAAAATCCGTTCATCTCTTCCTGGGCTGCAACTATACAACACGATGATGTGCCACCGAAACTGCCTTGTTAATTCTTAGCTTCAGTATCAGGCTTGTTTCTCTCGCCTTCATAACCAGATGCCTTCCCACTTCTGCCAATCAAGAACGGCTCCACCGTAGAACCACTGTCGTGGTACATGTCCAGGCCATGATAAGTTCTTCTGGTGGCAAAATATTCTGCTCCTGATGTAGCTCCCTTCCCATTGCTGGTTATCATAGTCGTACTTTTGTCTCGCAGTTGTAGAGCCTTCTCCATTGTGGCTGATAGAGCAACAACCCTTCCATTCTCTTCTTCCTCTTCCACGTTCTCTGCATTTTTCAGTAAGAAAATCACTCACAGTGTGAGGGAATTATATAAACAGGGATGTCATGCTGATCCAACTGAAGCCACTGAAAAACTTACCTTTGGAACTGAAGTCCTCAACGTATCTGCCTTGTATGAGTGAGAAACGGGCCTCTTCAGGATCATGTCTTACATCTGGAAGAGGGGAATCAATCAAATCCCAGAATTTCGTAACATATGCTCCGGTCCATTCCCTTCCCCTGGGGAATAATTGATGTTCAGGGAGAGAGGAGAACATCAGTATCTTGAAAATACGGGTGAAACTCAAATACAAAGATTCTAATGATGTGGGTTATATCTTATAGCAGAGATTGTTACCAACCTGCTAAAACTTAGCATGGCTTCAAATGGAGTAATGACTGGAGCTAAGAACTCTTTACTGTCCAGGAGAGCAGTTTGCGGACAGGAGACATACACGAAAACATCACACTTGCAAAAAGCCAAAAACATCAATGTTTGAATGCAGAACTTGTACTTGTGTCAAACCTAAAAACAAAAAAACAAAACAAAAAAAACAGGCAACTTTCTCCTCCCAAATAACTGAAGTGAAGTCCTTACCTCAGGGAAGTTGGCAAGTTTTGCAGGATTGGGTCGACCCATTACAAAAGTGTAAGCCTTCTTTCCTGCAGCAGTTATTAAGTCCTTCATCTGATGAATCATGTTGAGGTAACCAGCTGCATTGAAATTAAAAGGAAAAATCTAATGATTAACTGGTCAATAGCATTTGCTGAACATAAAGAAAAAACTGAAAAGCATCCATTGGATAAACAAAAAATTGCATTACCAGCTTTGGAGAGTACAAGTAGAATGCCAAAACTATGTGACGGGCAAGAGTAGAGGAAAGAAATAGGGCAAAAGAATTGAAAATTATAAAGTATAGGTGACATACCTACTCCAAGAGTTCCAACCAGTATCCCAACAATGTTTGCATCTTTTGCCTTCTCCACTAGGTAATATCTATAAAAACAACAATCGATCACGCAGGAGCAAGAAGTTACTACGTAAAAAAGATGGAGGAAAACTGAAGAAAAATGACATAGTACAAAGTACATATGAAGATTTCAGTAATGAGAGGGAAGCAAACAAATAAGTGAAGCAGAAACGTCATATAGTGCAGACTACCTCCTCTTGAGTATCTTTCTTTGTAGAGATAAATCTGTCATCAAGCAACCTTGCTCCACATCGTATCTGACTAAAAAACAGTATCAGCAGATTGGACTCAGTATTCCTTGAAGAGGCATCACACAAATTCCAAGAAATTAAGGACCCTTTCGATAAATAACAGATATCTAAAAAATGATACTACAAATGAAGCACCTTCGATCTGTTACCTATTTCACACCCATTGAATGTCAGTACTGCATTTGCAAATGCTGAATTTTCAGAGCCAATCCAGTAAAGAGAGTAATCCTCCATCTTGCTTCCTTTGGGTAGACTCCAGATCAGACCTCCAATGCTACCAGTAAAACCAGATGTGACACCCTCACAACTAGTATCACAATCACAGTCTGGTCTCAGGTTCTCGGAATTTTCACATAGCTTTGGGGGATCGGTTACTCGAGATGCAACATCAGCAAAGTGATATTCACAAGTGGAGGTGGACGCATTTAAGGATGATAATACTGAAACAACTACATCCTGGATATGTGAGATGGCATGTGCATACTCTAGGCCATAAAGTACCTGCATCAGGAATGAGAACAACACCCGCGAATATTAAGGAACAATTTTTTGTTATAATATCAAGAAACTGTATGTTGCATAACTTGAAGCTAATTAGTTGTACGTGGAGGGCATCCGGGCATTCTCCTCCAAATTAAGTGCATCAAATAGGGGAACTGCACGGCAGGGCTCTCATAATGGAGCTCAAATGAAGCAGAAAGACTCCCACCACAGGACAATCCTCTGGTTGTCATCTTACATGATTAGGGAAGCTGGGTTTGGCTAATATGGATCAAAGCTTTTTACAAAGATCCTTTTCAATAGTTTAATTATCTAAAAAAGGCTTGGCCCCATCAACTTGATTCTGCAAGAATCTCAAGCATATTCTTACAATTAACTGAACAAATCATCCACTTCCATAGACTCAGTCACCCATTGGTGCGGAATTAATTACTAAACGGACAAATAGGTATCATATCGTTTAACATACCAGAACCGGTTTTCCACTTGTTGATGCATAATTCGACAAACTTTCAGCACACTTCGAAGCATCAACTGAAGCTTTTCCAAGAACAAAGAATGCTGGAAGGGTTGAGCTCCTGCAAAAAAAAAGTACATAACTTGTTATCTCATTCACTCCTTTTCAAAGCCATAGGTCGGTTAAAAGGGCGCATGCACAATATAGAAGTGATAAGCAGTAGAGACAAACATTCAACACACTCTCAAACTTCTAGAAGCAGTATTGAAACTTCTTTGGCTTTGATTGGACAATATACTGTGTGAATGAAACTACGGGTCCAGAATTTGAACCAGCAAATTGCTTACGGGCTGAGACACGTATGTCCGTAATGAATGACGCATTCACCATCGCTATGCGACGCACCAACTTCATCCACGCAACAACTTCCATAAGTTGCATCTGCCATTACAAAGAGTCTAACCTCTTTAGCACCATCTCGTTGTGTTTCAGAGCCTGATTCTTTCAGTAACTGAAGCTTGTCTCTCAAAGCACCCACCACTCTCATAGAATCCTTCAACAACTCGTCAGGGAACTGCAAATTCATAAAAGTTGTCCATCGCATTAACAACCCTGTCTTCCAAGTTTGGAACTAATGATAATTTATACATTAACCAAAGTGGGTATGTATGTGATAGATACAAACTAATAAGAATCGACTTAAAAAGGGTTAGCAGAGGCGACGCCGGGCATTACCTGCAAAGCAACCCTGGAGAAGTTGCGGCGGTGAATGAAATCAGCAGTATCTTCAATCTCATAGTTTGTTTCGAAATCCATCGCAGATACTGCATTAACCCTCTATGCACAAGCTTAGCTTAGCTGCTGCGCTATGGCCTTCTGTTTTTTTGTATACTTGTTGCCGGAGTTGGAGCTTTATGTTAATAAGAAAAAGGCTGGAAAACGCTACCTTCCCGCCGGCGGAGCGCTGCTAAGGATAGGCGGGCACGGCCATCTAAATGAGGGGTCGAGTCTTCTAATTAGGGTAATAACTAAACGGCGCTGTTTTAGCTTCTGAGTACCAAGGATATATGTCGACCCGATTTTTGACCGACCCATACCGATCCAACCGACGGCAAGTATCAAAATGGGAGGTTTACCAGAACCTATCCAAAACCGATAACTACCGGATTTATCTGATTTGATCAAGTCAGGTTGAATATCCACGAGTTTACTTATTACTATGGAGAATCTAGAAATTCCATAGTTTTTAGGATACTCAATTAGTGTCGTCCCTACTCGCTGCTCAATTCGCTTACCAAATACAAGGACTTTAATCCACCCATCTATTTATTCCTTCTCCACCTCCGGTCATCCCTTTAGTGCCCCCATCCTGGTCTCCCCCTCCTCCTGGTCACCTCGAACTCAACTTCGACGATGTTGTCCATCCTTCTCGAGGTAGTGCTATAGGCTTGGTGTTGAAGTCTGCATACGGTCGTACGCATCTCGCTATTGGACTTCAACATCCTGGGATTGACAACACGTACCTTGCCGAGCTACTAGCTGCTCGAGATGGTTTAAATTTGTTTCATCACTTTGGCCTCCATGGAGTCATACTGGAAGGGGATTCTGAAGTCATAATTCGTCAGCTACTAAGAGGGATATAGTCATATGCAATTGGAGACTTGGCGCTTAGAGGCTACCGTAAGATGATTGATGCTCTAGACATAGGGTTAGAGGTTCGTGTGGTTCCTAAAATTCAGGTTGTCGGACGCCGATAGTGTGGCAAGAAAAGTCCTTTATCTGTCTAGTTTAGAGTTGCTTTCATTTGATTTTGTTGCTTGATTGAGAAATGATTTATAGGTTAGTCAAATTATTTCTTGTACTCTATTATCATATCTCAGACAAAAAAAAGTATGTCCACGATTTTGAATATTGTTTTCATCTCAAAAAGCATCTCTTTGAAATCACTTCGATGGCCTTTCGGTGTTCTCCATCAAAGTTTCAAACATTTTGAATACATAACTAAAGACGTTGTTTGAAGAATTGGGGTCTAAATCTCTAAATTCACAACAATTAAAAAAATTAACTCTCGGATTGTTGAAAAATATTATAAATTATGAATTATTTGGTAACTGCAATTGTCAACATTCAATGAAAAATGGAAATCCCGTTTTTTTATCGAATGAAATCTTTACCCTTAATTAAAAGAAAGAGTGGCTTGAAAAATATTGAGGATTTGATAATGGTATTTAGTGAAATAAATAAATAATGCAGAGTTAAAGTAGAAGGAAAAAATCTCACAAATTAATAAACATATGAGAAATTTAATATATTTATATTTAAATAGTAAAAGCAAAAGCAAAAGGCAATTTTCTATTAAATCCATGACCCAAATTATTTTCTCCAAACAACCCCTAAATATCATGACACTAAAAGTTTGTGGATTGTCTGTAAAAATAATTTTAACAATGCAACTGCAAAAATTCACATATAAATCATAAAGAGTCTATTAACCAACCACGGTAGTCGAACTACCGATAAAAGTTCTTTGCACTCCTGGACAATAAAGATATTCACATACATGTTATTTGTACGGCTGGATCGATCATAAATATGTTCTCTTACTATTTCGTTACTTTTTAGCAAATTTATAATAGAAAATTGTAAATTTTTTTTGTGTGGTTTGTAAACATTGGAAAAGAATACTGAATTGACCTTGTGCTTTCTAGAAATTTGATTTAGCAATCAAAAACAGTTACAACATAATCGTGCGGTCGGCTACCCAGAAACAAACAAACAAAAAAGATAGATTTAGTTTCAACTCAACCCCATCGATACATGAATGAACAGAAACAACATCCCTTAGCCCAATCTACAAACCAGAGAGATCAGGCTGACACACTCATAGAGCCAGACAAACGTTTCTCTCTTCGCCCATCTTTAATTAATGGCCTCTCAGCTGCTTTCTCTTTTGTTCTCCATGATCATTATCAGATCAGATCACCATAGCAGCAGAAGCGTTGTTGTTCATTGACCAACAGTATATAAGCTGTACCATAGCCAAAAGAGATAAAAACTGAAACAGCTCACAGCCTGATCCATCTGCCCATCTATGATCTGCTAGCTAGCTACTACTACAATGGGAGGCCTTCACATTTCGTTTTCAAGTCATTTAATGGCGCCTATTAGAGCCTGTCCTGCCTTGAAACTCCCAACCCAAAACAAAACTGCTGCTGCAGAATTTTATATTCACCATTTCAAAGGGTTCACACTGCCCCACGGTTGCAGAAATTCCCCTAGCATTTAAGTCTGGTTTATACCCCTGTAGTTTAAGTCAGGCATATAATTTAAGACCTATAAATTCAATGTTATATCTCGTCATTATAAAAAAATATTAGAACGTACAATATAATCAATTTTTTTATACAAAATTCACTTTCATAGCCATAACTTTGCACTTTGTGACAAATATAGTCAGATTCGGAGAAATACACAGAAATAGCCAAAAATTTGAAAATGCGTTGACAGTAATAGCAATTTCCTTTATTAAATGTGACGACGTCAGGGACGCCGTTAATTACATGTTCGCTTAGCTGACGTGGCCGAATTATGGACTCCACGTCGGCGCCAACAGGACTGAATTTGCCACCAAAGCGCCACGTCATCCGGAGGAGAGAGAATCGTTTGGGGCAATTAAACCTTCCAGATCTTCCAGCGACTTCTCCTCCATCTGATTTTCGATTTCATCTTCCCTCATCCCAGAAAAAGCCGAAATCGGCTACCATCTTCCTCGCAGCGGCAGTGTCAATACGGCGAAAACCCTTGACGCCGTGGGTGTGATTCTGATTCTCCCATCCCTCGACGCCGTGGGTGTGATTCCGAAATCGGCTTCCATCTTCTTCGACTCGCAGTGTGAACCCGCATCTCCCATCCATCCCTCCGATTCTCCCATCCCTCGGCATCTCACATCCCTAGACAGTGTCAACCCGCATCTCCCATCCCTAACGATGTCACAAAGGGGCAGTCGGGGTGCTCGCAAGAATGGCGGCGATTCGGGGTCAACAAGCGTCAAGAGTGGGTTTTCTTTCCTATGCGAACACAATGTCCCAGCTGTGATTAATACCTCTGGGACTGAGTTGAATCCAGGAAGGCAGTTCTATGGCTGTCGTTATTGGAGGGTAAGGTCATTCCATTGTAATTGATGATTGTATTTGTTTGTTGTTTTGTTGGCTAAGGAGGGTCGATGGTTTGCGGGATGGGAAAGGATGTAGATTTTTTTAGGTGGGTGAATGGCAATGAGGAGCCATTAGATTCGAGGAACCATGAGATGGAGAGTATTATTATGAACCTGGAGGAGAGACTAATGTTGGTCGAATCTAATGCTGAGAAGAGGAAGAAGGAAAAAAAAGTTGCTGACATAAGAATTAAGGAATTTGATGCAAGTTTGCCAAGTTAGATTGGCTGAAGAGATCCGGGTCATGAGATATATGTTGACTGTTTTGTTGATCATGAATGTGTTTTTGTTTGTGGTTCTGTGGAGGAAGGATTGTGGTATGTAGAAGTTTTTGTTTTGTTGATCATGTAAGTTGGGTATGTAGATTTTAGAGTTCGTGTAAGTTGGGTATGTAGGTCGAAGAGTTCATGTAAGTTGGAATTCAAGGATCAAATAGTTGCATAACATGCATTACATAACAAGTGCATAACCTGTTCACACCACTTGGATACATCACATAAGCTGTTTTTGAACCCATAATAGATCATAACAAGTACATAACAAGTGCATAACTTTGTCCACACCACTTGTTCACATCAACCTCCTCCCCATCGACAGCCAACCTCGTTGTCACCTTCCTTCTCTTCCCTTCCCCATAGGAACGTAAGGCAGCCCTAGCTTCGTGGTACTCATCGTCGGATGTCATGGCATCCTCAGAGTCGTAAACATGGTAAATGTCTCGTGCAACGGATGCAGCTACATCACCATCTGCCTCCATTGATATATCTTCACCACCAATCTGATCTGGATCATTCTCGTCCCAAGCATCTAACATCTGTGCAAATGAGGTTTAAGTGATTAGCTACTAAACTAAAGCCCTAAGCTTAATTAAATAAGCATTAGTTACTAATAGTATAAACAAATCACTACCAGACAAGCAACACACCAACATCCATTAAAGAAATCACGTTAGGTTCTGACAATTTCAAAGCATTGAATTCGTCATGCTACATTGACGGTTCTATCCACATATTTCAGCTTCTTACCGTATGTTGTAGGGGCAATCTCGTGACAAACAGATTCTCGTGGTCCCTCCAAACCCTTGCTGCGTCGCTTTACTTTACACCTTGGTTATTCCTATAAAGGAGCAATTTCGGATTAGGGTTCCCACCATTCACATCCGTCCACACAAACAGAGGTGAGAGTAACAGAATCGAGGGGCAGAGGAAGAGGCGAGGCGAGGATTACTTACCGATAACAGATTAGGGTTCGAGCTTCGTCTCTGGGCTTTTTTTACCGGAATCGATAGTTCGAGCTTCGTCCCCTTATCCTCTTCGCCGTCGACGACTGGAAGCGACGCCGGATCTTGCTATTAAGCTGGTTGATGGCGAGTCGCCACCTCTGTGTTCGTCAATTGAGATGGGTATGGAGGGAAGTTCGATGACCTGATCAATGAGGCGAGAGGACACGTCGACCAAGGCGAGATGACCGGATGACTGTGTTGGTCAATTCACTGTCACCGGCGAAGAGAATCGAGAGTGGGGGTGGAGATTTAGGGTTTCTGCTGGGTCGTCGCGAAGAGGAAGGGTGAAAGAACGAAAGGGGGGCATTTGCGAAAAAGGTGAAAATTTGGTAAAGTAGGGTAAAAACTAATTAATGAAAAATAATTAATTCATTTCCACGTTGGCATACACGTAGACCAAATAAAACGCGGCCATTTGGGTTCGTTTGTCCAGTCAGCAGGCGTTATGTTTTCTGTTACATTATTGGATGGAATGGCTATTTCTGTGTATTTCTCCGAATCTGACTATATTTGTCACAAAGTGCAAAGTTATGGCCATGGACGTGAATTTTGCCATTTTTTTTTTTTTTTTGTATGTAGTATCCTCTGCAATAGTAATAGTGGGATTCGAACAAGAAGCTCATTATGTATTGAACTCTCATTAACTTAATCATTTATATGACATCATATACATGTCTTAACATCATGGGAAAATGGTAATGGGTACCAATAAAATTTAATTGACTCATTCGAGTAAAATTAGAAGATAATATTTCACAAAATATTCTTTATTTGATATGAAAATCATTGGAGGCGATCCTAACTATGCATTATTTTTCTCATATAAACTTATTAGGAAAATTCATTACTTTTAAAACTCATATTTTCATATTACAACCTCATATTCATCACAAAATGATATTATATTCTTTTTTTAAGTAATTTGTAATACTATCATATTCTTACATCACATCTTCATTTTTCAAAAAGCATATTCTTTATAGAATCTTTCTTGCAAACAATCCAAGTGGATTGATGGTAATGACAGGCATCATATCAGGCAATGGGAAGGTTCTGCGGTCATTTTACTACATACAAAAGCCAATATCCTCTTCTACTAAGTTAGGTTGTCACCATTCTTATCAGCTGAAGCGACATAGAATAACAAGTGACCCAAAAAGAAAACGTTACATCTGACACCAGACCCACCTCTCTGTTTAAGAACATAAGGGCAGCGAAACAAATTCAACAGGAACCAGAACAAAGAACAACAACAACTATTTCAACAAGTAAAACCCACCAAACCCCACAAATGGCCAAGCTTGGGGAACCCCAAGACGCCATTATTAAACCACCAGAATCCTTCTGACCCACATTGGTATTACCTCTTTTCTCCCACTTGGAATTTGCATTTAGTTTCAGCAACTTGACTTGCTCATCATCTTCTTCACCCAGCTGGCATGGCTTTACCCCATATGGTGCATTGCTTGGAGAAACCATTTCCAATGGGTAACAAAGGTTTGGATTCCCCCAAGCTCCAAACCTTCTCCTGAGCTTCCCCATAAACACGTCAGGAAATTGAATATCCCCTGTCAGGTTATTCCCATTCAGGTAGAGTGCACTGAGACAAGGCAGAGTTGCCAATTCTGGCAAGAGTTTTCCTGTGAGATTGTTGTCACTAAGACCCAAGAACCTCAGCCTCTTCAATTCAGCAACAGAATTGGGAACCAGGCCTGCCAAGCCCACGTTGGACAGGTCCAGAACCACTAAATTCTGCAGCTTGTGCCATTGTAGGCCCATGAGGTCTCCACCAAGTGGGTTACTCGACAATGCCATTTCCTCCAATGAAGTCAAACCCTCCAGTGACTTGGTCAGTCCACCAGAGAATTTGTTGTTCCTCAGGTCCAAAAGGGTCAGGTTCTTCAGATTCCCAATCACACTTGGGAGATTTCCCTGGAGCTGGTTGTTGCTTAGGTCAAGCTTAAGGAGTGAAGTCAACCCACCAAAAGTTGAAGGCAATGGACCAGACAGTTGATTCCTGCTTAAGTCCAGAATTAACATCTTGCTTAACAGACCATAATTTTCTGGGATCCTGCCACTGAATCTGTTTCCAGCCAGGACAAGTCTCTTAAGGTTTGCCAAGTTGCCAATGTTTGCTGGCAACCCACCTGTTAGTCCATTTTCAATGAGCACCAAGGATTGAAGGTTGACCAGGCTGGCTAAACTTGTGGGGACCTGACCGGTTAGACCAGGGTTTGACCTGAATTCCAAGACTTGAAGGGTTGACCCAAGATTTCCCCAGTTGTTGGGAGGGATGGAGACTGGATGCTTGATGAAGCAGTTGAAGAAGGAGAGAGATTTCAGGTGCTTGAGTTGGAAGAGCTGTGGCCTGAACTCGACTTTTGGGCCACACCCCAGTGAGTTGTCATGAACCGGTCCAATGCTTAACTCGGTTACATACCAGAGCCCATTGAATATATCACAGGATACCCCCTGCAGGAAAAACAAAAATTGAACCATTGCCATCAGCAAAAGCAGAAAAGGAAAATGGAGTGAAGAAATTGTAAGAAGGTATTTTTGTATGTACTTGTTCCCCTATGTCATAACAGTTATGTCCATGGAATGTTGTAAGTTATACGCAAGAGGTAAAAACAACAGTTGAAAAGAGGGGAAAGAAATACAGGAATTGTACTTCCAGGCATGAACTTGTTCTTCTGAGAGTGATATATAGCGACCAAGAAAATCATTGAAGTGAGGTTTAGAAGAAAAACAAAGTAAAAAGGAACTGAAGTTCTTCTGCAACTAAGATGAAATTGGAAAGGCAATGATGTAAAAAAACAGAAGGGAACCAAACATTATTTGCATACAGAAACTTGAGTCACGGATGCTTTCCCAATTCACCAAACCAGGCATCTCTTATAATTTAGTTTAAACAGCAAAACCGGACTGAAGAAGAAGGAAAAAGCCAGGAAGACTTTAGGAGACAGAGAGAGAGAGTTCATTGATGTGGTCCTATAATAAGATTAAAGAAAAGATTGATGGCAATGTAACAGTAAAAAAGGAGGGAAAACAGAGAGAAAGAGAGACCTGGATGGGACTCCAACCACAAGGGTCAGGATAAAGATCAGAGCCATTCCACAAGTTACCAACAAACCCTTGTATGGCTGAAAAAAGTGCAGCTTTCTCGCCTGACTCCATTGGAGCTCCTCCTCCTCCATCATCACTACTACTGTCTCCTGCTGCTACTGATACTGGTTCTCCATTACAGCAAATGGTTAAATACAACGTGCACACAACCACAAGGAAATGTCTGGTGTTGAAGCTGAACAATGTACTCCTCATTTTCCGACGACTTCCTGTTCTCACTAATTAACGACTAGAAAGAAGAGACTGTGGAGTTCTTCCTAAACGGGCCAAGTGGGAACAGAGCAAAAACAGGGGGAATTGGCCATGGTTTTAGATGGGTTACTAGCAAAGAAGAGAAGTTAGCTGAACTTAACCAACAAAGGGAATGAAGGGATTGAAACCCAGTGGATAAAGTTGCAAACTTTAGTGAAGGATTAACGAAAACAAATGGGACCCTATTGAAACCCCACTAGAGAACCCACCAAGAGGGATAAAGAAAGGAACAGAATGCAGAAGAAAAAAGCTCGAGGAATAGCTATATGGTGTTTATATATAGAAAATGGCCAAGGAAGGTATCAGAAAACTCAGAGAAGAAGTGAGAGAGAGGTAACACCAAAACAAGCCCTTCAGATTTTGGAAGCAAGGGTATCAAAAGGGAGAGGGAAATGGCAATAAATAGCAATGACAACAACAAACAGGAGGCCAATATAACAGAGAAATAATGGGTAGCTTTTCAAAGATTTTTTTGGGGAGGAGAGGAGGAGGGGTTGTTGTGTACTATACTGCACCAACTTGGGGAGAGTTATATTTTGCTCAAGAAGGGACTAGTGAGGTTCTGTTTTTTAACCAATAGGTTCTATTTAGCATATGATAACAAGGAAAAGTGTGAAGAGATGATGGTGACCAGAAGTTTTGAGGCAGCCATTTAATGGTGGGTTCATTGGCAGAGAAGGGTAAAAGGGGGGAAATGGTGGTTGGGAGAAGGATTTATGGAAGGAAAGGAAGTGAAGATGAATATAGTTAGGTTTAATGGGAAGAAAGAAAGAAGTAAAGTGGGGGGGATGGCAATGGTACAGAGAAGGGACCATTTTGTAGCTCATTGCAAAAGAAAACAGAGGAGGGATGATGCATGTTTATTAGCTGTGCATGAAAGACAAAACTTTGGCTTTTGGGGACTCTGTTTTTTTTCTTTTCTTTGGCTTTCTATTTACCTTTTTCACTCTGGTAAGTTGATTGCTACATGTTTGTTGTTTGTTGTGTTTCTTTCTGTTTTAGCTGTTGAGAGTCCTCACAGGTTTTTATCAGAATGGTAAAAGAGAAGATGAGCAAAAGGAACTAGACCAAAATGGGGGAGAAACAACAATAAACGGTAATGTTTATTTTGACAATAGAAGTTTCCCTTCATTCGAAAGAAACCCATCGAGTTACGAACAGGCAACAGAAGTTCAATACACCAAGAATACTAAAACTACAAACAGAAGTAAATACATGAATGTTGAATAAGTTACGAGAAGCATAATTCAATACCCCAGGACTATTGAGTATTGAGATTTGTATCACATGTCACCCTATCGGTTTTCACATTGACATTACAAAATAGAATACCAAACTCTTGATAAAGCTTGTGGAGCGAATCCGAGGCAAAACCAGGGGGTTTTAGAGACATCTTAAATTTTGAAAAAATGATTATTCAACTCTGTAGTAGCTTGTTGGAATATTTTTTTAAGAAAAATTGGAACATTTCTATTGTTAGTAAATATGCTTTCCATTAGCCTACAACTGATTTGTTGTTCTATTATAAACATAAATCAAATAGTAAAAACGTTAATCATTATCCCCAATTACTTTCAAAATTTAACAATTAAACTGTAATCATATTCATGGGATTACTTGTTTCTCAAAGTTGTATTGATTTTACCCTTTGCAACCGCAAGTGTTAAAAGAGTCTTTTCAGTTTTGGGTAACATCAATAACAAGTTTCTGAATCAAATAGGAGATCAGTTCGTGAATGATTGTCTAGTAGAATAGAGAGATCAGTCTCTCTCACCTTCATAGATGCCACCCTCCACGCAAATGCCACCCTCCTCACCTGCATCCGAACATGCAAACTGCTCATGATCGCAAGCAATCGGATGATCCCATTTACTCTTAGCCATCTTAACTCCCATAAGCTGTCATCTTGATATCATGTATCAATGACTCATCAAATAAATCTCGAACAAATAATTGCCCGTTTATAAATACGATTACAACCGAAATCCTAATATGATTAGAGGATAGCTGGAGGAATGTGAATCTCGTGAGTAGGAGAACCCCTCCATGAAATTATATTCAAGATCATATGATCTTTTTCTTTTGCAATGAAGCATTTCATTTTTTAAATAAGAAAATTGGATAAAAAGAAAGCAATATAATTAAGAGGCGAAAGCGACAAATGGGGGTGTGGGTTTGTAGGAGGCAATGCGAGTAAGGTTTTTGCCAGTCATAGAGGGCATTGACAATTGACATAAGCTTAAATGTCAACGTGTTGTTGGTATTGCTAACTGCATCTCACAAGCTTGAGCTAACCATAACCAACAACACACTACTCCATTAATGGCCCTCCACGCTTTTGAAGAAGAAGAAGAAGAAGAAGAAGGATGGATTTGGACCAGGCTGTCTCAATATGGTCAAGAGATAGAGTGATCACAAATTGTCAATCAGAAACGGCAACTCTGCTTTGCGGTGGCTAATACACTCAAATTTGAAGTATAACAGTTTAGTAAACGGACACAAGTTAGGGGTTTCTTTGTTTCTCCTATTGTTTTAAAGGTGGTTTGGAATTCCGATTATTGATGATGAATTTTGTGTTTTACATCCGGAAGAATATAATATTTTTTTGGCTCGATTTGCATCTGTGTTGATAATACAATCATAGATACCAATTTTTCTGTTTTATCCAATTTTATAAATTAAAAAGTGTATTCCAATTATTGACCATAATATGTTAATTTAAAAATTGGAGAAACAAAATATATAATTGCCACTATTTGTAGGTACGTTGATAACATTTATATTTTTTTAGTGATGATTATTGATATATATTATTATTGTTGATATATAAGCTTTGCTCCTAAGTCCTAAGTTTACTATTTATTAAGAGGGTTTATTTGTAATTTACGTGAACTTTAGTGGCACTTCATTAAGAGCACATATTTTCATTTCTTTTATCATTTTTCTTTTTATTTGGAAGTGGACACATCATACACATTTGTTTCATTTCTCTTTTTTTTTTAATCACATATATGAGAACCATTTAGTAATTTTCTTTTTTTGTTTTGCTATCCTAAAATCGACATTTTTGTTCGTATTTGACTTTTGCCGCCTTATCTATCTCTTTTACGATCGAGGTCGAATATGAAGAAAAAGAAAAAATTTCTTATTCTCCATTGAACCAACGACACAAGATGTTACGTTCTTCCTTCATTTTTCTCTCATTTCGTTAAATTTTTATGACTTTCTTTTTATATCATTTTTTGTGACGAAAATAACTTCATTTTTCGTATTTGGTTTTGCCTCCTTATTTACCTATTTAGCGATTTGCTAGATCCTAGAACACCCACAAGGTGGGAGAACGGAGTCGCGATAGTAGTACTCATCGAAGAACAAGAGAATCATAGTAATAAAGTCTCAATAATTCAAATCAAACTCCACAACAAAAAATGATTTCAAGCTTGCCTTTTTGTTTGTTGTTCCCCAATCGTGACTTATTCATTGGCCATCGGGTCCATTTTTTTTGTTTGCTTCAATTTATTCCAAAATGCATTTTTCAATTCTTATCCAGCTGCTTAGATGTTCCTATTCGTGGAATTTCTTATCATGATTGATTTTATCACCTCTTACTTTTTTCATCAAATGAGAGTTAGGCTTGCAGCTTTTTTAATTTGTGTTCCTTACGTATTAGTTTATTCTCTCTACAATCACATGTAACATTTCACATCGCTCCTTTGGCGCAAAATGCAGTGAGCAGGCTTCTCTAGTTCTATTATGAAAAGTATAGTTTTGAATATACTATTCATTAAGAGGAGTTTTTGTAAATAACTCTAACGACATTCTTCCAAAAGAGACATATGGCACCCTTCTATTGGTTTCTATTTCTTCTCCTTTTATCATTTTTATTATATCTCTCCCTCTTTAATCTCTACATCTATTCCTTTTATATTATTGTTTCTTGTGCTAAATTCGATTAACCTTTTTTTTTGTATTTTTAATCTCTCGAAATTGATGCAATTGCTCGAGACCGACTTTCGTACGTGCTTATACATTTTACTCATCTCTCTCACTCGATATTGAATAGAAAGTCAACGATGAAATCACTCACTTTCCACCTATTCCTTTCACATTATTGTTTCTTGTGCTAAAACCAATTAATTTTTGTGTTTGTTTTTGTATTCTTGATCTCTCAAAATTGATGAAATCGCTCGAGACCGACTTCCATACGTTGTTTATACATTTTACTCAACTATATCACTCGATGTTGAATACAAAGTTAATGATGAAATCACTCACTCAATTGAAAGTCGAAAGAGGCATAAGAACCAATGAAATAGCTCGAGACTGACTTTCGTTCTTGGTTATACATTTTACTTATCTCTATAACTCGATGTTGAACAGAAAGTTAAAGATGAAATCACTCACTCTCAATCGAAAGTCAAAATATGCATATGAACCAATGAAATAGCTTGAAATTAGGGATGGCAATGGGTGCGGATTTGTCTAAACAATCACCATCCGCGCTTTCAAATATCCAAACTCGTACTTGCCCCATACCCATGAGGGAAAGGTTTTGCAAACCCAACCTCGTACCCATGGGTTCCGGATACCCGTGGGTAATACCTGCTCCGTATATCCACATCATTATACCTAAGCATTTACATGTAAATTTTCAATTATAAGGCTAAATACTAGTAGGGCTGGCTATTTGGTCCGGACTGTTTGGTTTTACCCGAAACCGGACCGGGACCGGACTGGGACCGGATAGCAAACAATCCAATTGCATATTCGGGCTTAGATTTGAGGTTAAAAAAACCCGGATAAAGACCGGATAAGAGACCCCCAACACCTAAAATCAAGATCAAATTAGGACCGAATCGGGTCAAGACCGGACTTTATCCAATCCAATATGTGATCCTTATATTCCCGAAAAAGACCGGACTGGGACCAGATCAATTTGGTCCAATTTAACCGGACCGGACCGTATAGCCACCCCTACTAAATAGAGCTGCTATATCATGAAGTCAGCAAAGATACAATAATTCTTAATACGGTTCAAATCATATAATCCTAAAATAGCCATCAATCAATAAAATAAAGTCAATATTTTTCAAACCGTTAGTTTCTAACTCTAATACATCAACTAAGTAATAATTAGCTAACATAATTATCTTGTTAACAAGAGGAAAAAGTGAAAGAATGAAGCGAGAATTGAAGGAAAAGAATTAGGTTTGGATTTGACTGGCCACTCAATTGTCACTATTTATTTTCTTGAGTTACCTTCACTATCATTGATAGGTTGTAATTTTATCCATGTGTTCTTTATATTTGAAGAACTATTTTTTTGTGGGGCGAGTATGGCTATGGGACGGGGAGGCTAAAATCATACCCGACCCATCAAACCTTTTGTGGATTTTATCAATACCCACCGCCCCATACCAAGTCAATGCGGCGATTTTGGACGTTGATTGGGTCAGGGTCGGTCGAGTACCTGCGGTCATGGGTTTGATTGACATCCCTACTGGAGACCGACTTTCGTATTTATGCATTTTTACTAATCTCTCTCGCGTGAG